AATGCATAAGATTGCTTGACTTCTGGCCGCTTTCTCATCTATGCTCCCTATGCCTGTGCACCCACATGTCTTATGTAGATTAAATCTCCAAAATCAACCACCAGTATGCTATGGAGTTTTCGTTGGACAGCGTTTCTTAGTTCCCACCACACACCTCCTTTTCCTCATGTAGAGTTTTTATGCTGGTGTCCTGCCACACAGGGGGCCTGAGAGGAATGTCACCCAATCGCCGCCACTGCTCTGAGTGTGTAAAGTGATTAGGAGATTAGGAGAGTGTTGAAACTCCTGCTGGAAAAATGCAAAGAAAATCCTCACTTTGAGTCAGTTGTTTACAGAGCCCGTGTGTGTGTGTGTGTGTGTGTGTGTGTGTGTGTAATACAAAATGGATGTGAACATATATACAAATAGATATGGTTTTGGTTTTACTTTTATCTGAATTCTCTAGATAGTTGTCTTTATTCACCACTTGACTTCAATGGGTCCACACAAGTTAGGACTCCTTATCTTTTTAGGCATCTAAGCTGCTGGCTGATTCCTAGTGCTTCCAACATCTCCCATACTTTGGCACCACAAGGAGCAGTCACGTGCCCTTGGGTTTTTCAACCACTTTGGAGGCTGATTGAGGTCCTTCATACATGTATATTTGCTGTGATGAAAGTTCCATCCGTAGAGTGGAGCCCCCAGAGCTTAAATCAAAATTCTGTGGGTTTATGAAAGATGGGTTTAGAAATCTATATGGCTCTGTGGAGCTTCTCGGCTTTCTAAAATAAGGCATTTTGAAAAACACCCAGGCTTCCAAAAATATTTGCAGCTCTGCGGTTTGATTGAAAAACAGGGAGGTGGGAAGGGGGGTAGTATATACTAACTACAGTAGAGATTTTTTCATTCTTTAATGTGATGGAGTCCCTTCATGAAATGAAACTTTAAGGGGCATGGTATTGTGGGGACCACAGCTATGCTGAGGTTTAAAAGAAGAAACTGGAATATGATTAGTAAACACATTGGGCAGAAAAGAGCTGGATTCTTATTGACTTAGTTATAGGTCATTGGCTGGCAGTGCAATGGGAGGAAATATTTACTTTACACATATACTTTATGATCTTGGGGGAATTAGAGGAAATTCAATAAGAAAATGGCTAGAAACATTTAAGACCCTTATTTAAAAGACTTAAGCAAATTAGAGTCTTATCAGATTAAAAACCACTACAAATGTAAGAGCATTGTCTTCAGTGAAACGCTGTGGGGTCTGAGAAGGAGATTCTCCGCCAAATCTCAGGGATAAAATGCGTCATTTAAGCACCAGATAATGAGCAGAATGTAAATTAATTTAACCTTCTTTACCAACAGGCTGCTGGTGTAATGTGTATAATTTAGTGATAAGATTGCAAGACCTAATATAGCTAGATGTATGAGCCTTAGCTAATGCAAACCTGTCACATGAGGATGTGTTCCACTCTGAGCAGGTGTCTGTATGTGTGGAATGGGGTAACATGGAATAAAAGGTTAAAAGCAGAAATGCTGATTTAAAGCTTACTATGAAGAAAGTTCTCCCTTGCAACTAAATTCTTAAGGTGGGATGATACTGGTGAAGAAAGACCGAAAAACAATTCTCATTTTGGTCTTTGGACTGCGAGTTTAAAATGGGGAGGAGTTGCAGATAGGGTTTGGGGGTGGGCAGGGCAAAACAGAGACACATAAGTTGCAAATATATTTGTAGTCTGCTTCAGCCACTTTGTTCCACACTGAATAGTTTCCCAATCTTGTGAACAAGGACAAGGAGGGGGTGTTTTAAAGATACTTCATGCTGGCATTGCAAATCATTGACTGTAATGTCAAACAAATACACATTCAGAGACGATAACACTTAACTCAACAATAAAACCATCGCCAATGCAGAGACCCAGGGGAGACTAGTTTGTCCGCTCCAGTTGGCCTAAGCTAGGGGACAAAAGGACTTTCAAAAATTATTTTGAATATATTTAGATTTCTTTAATTTCTTTGGAAATTAGATTTACTTGGAAACAATGCTATATAAAGAGTTGATGTCTTCGAAGGTGATTTTTTTTGCGTTTATATTAATAAATAACACTTTGATTTTCCTAGTTGGGGAGCTGTTCTAGGCTTTTCGCTCTTAGTCCACACCCACCACCTCCGCCTGCTTTGACATTAAGGGCTCAAGACAGCTTTGAGCTCACTGGGAAAAGAAAATGACTGTTAAAAATTATCCTTGAAATTGGTTGTTTGGCAACATTCTTAATTGTATGGAAATTCATTAAGGCATATTTTATAGATAATTAGGTAAAGATTGTTGATTCTACAGGCTTTATGGATTTGACTCTGACTGATAATAAAGCAAACAGGAGAGTCGAATTTAAAGCGTGGCTCTCTAGGGTTAGGACGAGCTTAATACAGTGCACAAAGAATTTGAAAGATCTAGGTTATGTGTCTTAATCAACGTTAAGTAGAATGGATAAGCTTTCAGCATTTTGAAAACGCTGGGTTAGGGTTTCTATTCTATTGTGTGTTTTCTGTCTGGGGACTAATAAACATCACAGAGAACGTGATCCGAGGCGACTTTTTATTCTTGTATAAATCCAGAGTGAACCACCCAACAGTTGTTCGTTTAAAGTCAAGGTAATTTTCTTTTGACGGGTCCATTTACTTCTCGATTTCTAATTTATTAGCCTGCGTTTTCAGGGCTCTGTCTTCTTTGCAATTAAAGTAAAGCTTCTTCAGATTAGCGCGGCATTCACTTGACAGGCTGTTTGGAAAATTTAAGATCGGAGAGGTGATTTGTTGCTGTTTTTCAAATTTTCTCGTTCTAAGTAGCATGTCTCCTTTTAATAAGGGGTAGATGATTAGAAATGGTTGTAGCGAGACACAAAGAGGGGGTGTCTTGTTGAGCCTTGTACCTTTCAGACCTTGACCTTTCCACTGTCTTCTCCCAAGTCTCCGACTCCTAGCCTCATCTCTTCACCTTTGGGTTCGGACTAAAAGCCGGATCGCCTTGGGCTGGGCAGGAGCAGAATTCCCAGGAGCTTGCGCGTGTAGACCGGGTGGGCACCGGGAGGCATTAGCCAGGCCCCGCACTGCTGATAGGTGCAGGCAGGACAGTTCCCTCCGCCGCGGCTCGGGGCGTTCTGATTGGTGCGGAGCCACGTCACTCCCACCCCGCGAAGGGTCTGGGAGGAGGCGGAGGCGGAGAGGGCTGGGGAGGGCCGCGGCCGAGTGACGTCTCGGCACCAGGAAGCCCGCCTCTGGGTTTAAGATGTTGGGCCAACAGGGAAGCGCGGCGCCGCAGATCTGGTCCGTCGCTCGCCGGGGTGCCTGGAGCTGAGCTGCGGCGAGGCCCGGCCCCCGTTCGACCGCCCGAGGGGTGCGCTTGTGCGCGCTGCGGAGGGTGCGCTCCGAGGGCAGAGCCCTTGCTGCCGCGGCTGCCGCCACCGCGGGGGATCTAATATCAGCTACCTGTCCCTGTCACTCTTGACACTTCGCTGTCAGGGCTGCAGCGCGGGGGGCGGGCAGAGCGCGGTCGGCGTTAGCTTTCCTCATTGGAGGGGTTCTTGTGGGAGGGAGGAGGGAAAAAGGGGGTCTTTGCCCACTCTTGTTTCGCTTTGGAGCTTGGAACCCTGCTCCCTAAAGACGCTTCGAGTGGTGCCCTCCTGCCCACATCCCCATGTCTTCGCTTGCCCGCTGACTTTCGGCCTCCGGACTTTTTCGCGTGAGCCTTCCGGAGGAGACGGAGGCGTCTTGGCTTGAGGACTCGGCGGGGGTTGCGTCCCCTGGCTCTGCCCGCAGTGGGGATCTCCGCGCCTGGAGCGCAACCCGAAGCGGGCAGCGGCGGCTGCGGGGGCTCGGCGGGGCAGCAGCCCGGGACTGGCAGAGCGGCGCGCTCCCTCGTCCATGAACTGCATGAAAGGCCCGCTGCACTTGGAGCACCGAGCAGCGGGGACCAAGCTGTCGGCCGTCTCCTCATCCTCCTCCTGTCACTATCCCCAGCCGTTAGCCATGGCTTCGGTTCTGGCTCCCGGTCAGCCCCGCTCCCTGGACTCCTCCAAGCACAGGCTGGAGGTGCACACCATCTCCGACACCTCCAGCCCGGAGGCCGCAGGTAAGGCGCCGCGCCGCCCCGCGGACAGTCCAGCTCAGCTGCCCCGCGCCACCGCTCCTCCTCGCCCCAGGGAAGGCAGCCCCTCCTGGGGGAGGCGTGGTGGGAGTGGTCGTTCGCCTGGCTCCCCGCAGAACTTCCGGGAGCCGGAATTCTGACGACGACCCAGCGTCCCTTTAGTTCTCCCTAGATCGCCCGGCTCCCGGGGGCGCTAACGGCGCGAGCAATTCTGCCGCCCTCTCTAATCCTACCCGGGCCTCCCTTCTGTTTCCAGGGTCACAAAAATCCCAGCATCTCCATTCCAGGACCTTCAGAGGTCGCCCCACCTCTGTCCCTGTTTTCTCTCGGCTTTCATCTCCTGAGGAGCTCCGCTCGTTAGGAAACTGTCTGAAACTACTCAGAAATGCCCCTTGAGAAGAGGCGCTTTTTTTTTTCCCCCAGAAAGGGCTGGCGAATTGGGTGCCCATCCGAATCCCCACACCTTCTTTTCCTAGCCTTCCCAAACCGCATCGAAATCTGAGCTTTCTGCGAGGGGGGAGGGGGGTCTGTAAACCGCTCGAGTGTGCGTCCCAGGAGATTTGGTGTGTCTGCTCAGAGGTGTATAAATATACTTGAAAGCAGAGGCTATAAAAATGAATGTGCCGCTGCAGTGAGATAAACATGTAAATAAAACGTGAGGCGCTGGGGGAGGGGAGGAGATGGGGCGCGAACACCCACACTCGCGCCTGCACACCCCACAGGCGCAGCGCTCCTCGTGGCCCGGAGCCGCAGCGAGCACCCTCCTCCAGCGCCAGGCAGCCCAGCTCTTCCATGGCTTCTGCCGCCGGTCCAATTGGAGTTTGCGGGTTGCAGGTGGGCATGCTGACTGGGAAACTGTGTGTTTCGTTTTCAGAGAAAGATAAGAGCCAGCAGGGGAAGAATGAGGACGTGGGAGCCGAGGACCCGTCCAAGAAGAAGCGGCAAAGGCGGCAGCGGACTCACTTTACCAGCCAGCAGCTCCAGGAGCTGGAGGCCACTTTCCAGAGGAACCGCTACCCGGACATGTCCACACGCGAAGAAATCGCTGTATGGACCAACCTTACGGAAGCTCGAGTCCGGGTAGGAGCCAGCGCGGAGCCTGGGAGGGATAGGGGGAGGACATTGTGGAGGTGCAGGCCAAATAGACCAGGAGGGAGTGTGGAGGCAGCGCTGCCCTGCAGGGCACCGGTGGGGCGCAGGTTTGCAAAGGCAGAAGGCCTCGCTGCTGCTGGGTTGCAAAAGAACAACTCCCTTTCTGAGGCCGACAGGACTCCCGGCCTGGCTCAGGCTCCCAGAGCGGCACCCGCTCACTGCCCCGCCTTCCTGCGACCTTACGAGCTGGGCCGCGTGGGTAGTCCCCTGAACAAGGCATTGTGATCCTGGCTTGCAGTTGCCACGCGAGAGCTAATAAAATCCCTACCAGGTCAAGAGCCGCAAACAGGCTCCAACCTGCGCGCGTTTAACAAGGAAGACCCGCCAGAGACACGCAAGAGTTGGCCCTCCCTGGGAAACCTTTGCGCTAGGCCTGGCCCAGCTTTTTCCCTCCTGGGTTCTCGCTTCTTAACACCTTTTTTATGGTTTTTTTCAGCCATTCGGGTCTCTCCCACACACCCTATTCCCTGGTTTTGTGATCTCCAGGAGCAAAGTTTTAATACACAACTACTAGTCCTCTTAGAAAGAGAAAGAAAAAAAGAAAAAAGACTTTTCAGTTTGGTTTATTTATCTTCTCTCAGGAGTTGAACTCTGGAGATTGAAACTCACACCCCTCCTCTAAATTATAATCATAATTTTGTAAAAAAAAAAAAAAAAAAAAAAAAAAGGCTTACCTTAACTTTGAAGCAAATCTGTACTTTATGGATTGGCAAAAATGAGCTTAAATAAATTACCCAATAGCAACGTCCTGGTTTATGCTGGTCGGTGGAAGATTCCAAATTTGTTAGGATTCTGGAAGCAGAAAACAGAATCAAGCAAATCAAGCAGGATTCAGAGGCTTTGTTGTTTAAAAAAAAAAAAAAAAAAAAAAAAAAAAAAAAGTAAGTGCTCTGGGTAGAAAAATTAAGTCCCGGTTGGAGCAGAAAAAGCAAAAAGAAGACAATGATAAAAAGAATAAAGACCATCATGTGCTCCCAAATCAAAGGGAATGAAGACGCTCTCTGTGTGGCGTTTGTGCAAGGCATAAGGCTATGCTGGTGGATAAAAGAGCCGGGAAGAAGTTGAAAATGGTTTTAGTTTAACTGCCCAAAGCCAGCGCTGGGTCCCGGGCGGCGTGGTTTTGTGCAAGGTCAGTCTTTCATTAGCCCTCTTGCGCATCGGGGGAACTGGCCTCTCACGTACTCTTCTTGCCTGGGCAAAGTTTAGATGGCCTAGGGTAGAAATGGCAAGTAATTAAAATAAAGACATAGTCTATGGGTTTTCTGGGATCCTTGGATCCTCCCACCCTTGCGCTATACCGAAGCTCCTCCCTAGTGCTCTGTTGCCGCGGCGCTGGGCTCTCCTTGCAGCTGCCTCTCCTTCCAGGGCGGCTGCTTGCCGAGCCAAGTGGGAGTGAGACATGCTTTTTATAGCAGTCGGGTGCAAAGAGGAAGGGGGATAAAAAGGAAATTGAGAATGAAAGGAAAAAGAGAAAAAGCGGATTAAGCTGCTGGGCCCGGCGGAGATGTGTAATGTGAAACATCAACGGTGTCAGCTTGGAGATCTCAGGCCAGGCCTCCCTCCAATACACAAAAGCCGCCGTCTGGGGCGACTGGCGGGCCCGATGTGGATTGGGAGCGGGGTTGTGGCGGGGCCACCGGACTCGGGTGGGGGCCGGCCAGCCTGGGCGGCCGCCTGCAAAGCCAAACGACCAGGCTGAGCCAGGCGCGCGCGGGCCAGGCCTGTGGTAGGCGGAGGGTGAGAAGGGGCAGAGCTAAGGGAAGGGGGAATTGCAGAACTACCCGTTCCGGGTTCCCGGGGTTTAATATGCCAAGCTCCTGGAGTTAAGGAGCTGATGGGAAGGTGGTCTTTTGCTTTTTATTTGGTTGTTTTGCTAGGCCAGAAAGGGTGTCGGCGGCCTAGTCCCTGTTGGGGAAGCACTTACCAGGGGGTGGCGGACGACAGTGGAGGTCAGGGAAGGGAGAGAGGAGTTGTGATGGAGAAAGAGCAGTCCTCTGGTGCCCTTCCAGCCCCCTCTCCTCATCTGTGGGTCTGTGGCTTTGGAATGGAAGCAGGTTTGCAAGGTGCCCCAGGAGGGGTTGGGCGAAAAGCCTGCTGTCCGCGTTTGTTTTACAGCGAGTGTTTTGGGACCTAAAGAAAAGCCTGGCTGGTCAGGTGGTCCGCAGGCTTCCATGCGTTCAGCTGGGGTTTGTGGCGTAACTCCGAGTCCCAGCTCGCAGGCCAGAGCCGACCAGGTCTCCCACGCTTGGCGGAGACCCGAGTAACCGAAAGCTGGCCTTAGTAGCTTGGAGTGCACAGCGGTGCAGCGAAGGGAGGCCGCCAGTGTGTGTGAGCGCGCTAGCGCGTGTGTATCGGGGAAAGAGGAGGGTTGGCCTCCTATGGAAGTTTTATTAATCTGGACTGTGGCATCTGTTTGCTCCCTTGCCTCAACCGCCCCCAGGTTTGGTTCAAGAATCGTCGGGCCAAATGGAGAAAGCGGGAGCGCAACCAGCAGGCCGAGCTATGCAAGAATGGCTTCGGGCCGCAGTTCAATGGGCTCATGCAGCCTTACGACGACATGTACCCGGGCTATTCCTACAACAACTGGGCCGCCAAGGGCCTTACGTCCGCCTCCCTGTCCACCAAGAGCTTTCCCTTTTTCAACTCTATGAACGTCAACCCCCTGTCATCGCAGAGCATGTTCTCCCCGCCCAACTCTATCTCGTCCATGAGCATGTCCTCCAGCATGGTGCCCTCAGCGGTGACGGGCGTCCCGGGCTCCAGCCTCAACAGCCTGAATAACTTGAACAACCTGAGCAGCCCGTCGCTGAATTCCGCGGTGCCGACGCCTGCCTGTCCTTACGCGCCACCGACTCCTCCATATGTTTATAGGGACACGTGTAACTCGAGCCTGGCCAGCCTGAGACTGAAAGCAAAGCAGCACTCCAGCTTCGGCTACGCCAGCGTGCAGAACCCGGCATCCAACCTGAGTGCTTGCCAGTACGCAGTGGACCGGCCTGTGTGAGCCGCACCCACAGCGCCGGGATCCTAGGACCGTGCCGGATGGGGCAACTCCGCCCTTGAAAGACTGGGAATTAATGCTAGAAGGTCGTGGGCACTAAAGAAAGGGAGAGAAAGTGAAGATATATAGAGAAAAGGAAACCACTGAATCAAAGCGAGAGCTCCTTTGATTTCAAAGGGATGTCCTCAGTGTCTGACATCTTTCACTACAAGTATTTCCAACAGTTGCAAGGACACACACACAAACAAATGTTTGACTGGATATGACATTTTAACATTACTATAAGCTTGTTATTTTTTAAGTTTAGCATTGTTAACATTTAAATGACTGAAAGGATGTATATATATCGAAATGTCAAATTAATTTTATAAAAGCAGTTGTTAGTAATATCACAACAGTGTTTTTAAAGGTTAGGCTTTAAAATAAAGCATGTTATACAGAAGCGATTAGGATTTTTCGCTTGCGAGCAAGGGAATGTATATACTAAATGCCACACTGTATGTTTCTAACATATTATTATTATAAAAAATGTGTGAATATTCAGTTTTAGAATAGTTTCTCTGGTGGATGCAATGATGTTTCTGAAACTGCTATGTACAACCTACCCTGTGTATAACATTTCGTACAATATTATTGTTTTACTTTTCAGCAAATATGAAAAAAATGTGTTTTATTTCATGGGAGTAAAATATACTGCATACAAATTGGTCTGGATTCTTTCTGCCCTCCTCTGTCACTAACTTGGCCAGGGCATCTCAGTCACTGCTTCCTAAACAAACCAGTTCTCTCTGCCTGCCTAGTTAAACATACAAAGCAGCAGTCCTTATTTAAATGTGGTAGAAATAAACTATAGCCATTCATCAGAAACTGAAAAGAAAAAAGGCATTCCCAGGGAGGAAAAAAAAAAAAAAAAAAAGACTGCAAAATCTAATCTTGTCTCTCAGATTTTTCTTTGGCTTAAACTCAGAGGATTCTATTATTGCTAGCAAATAATATTAGAAAGAAAAAAGGAGAAAGAAATGTAGCAAGTACATCAGCTTGGAATGACTCTCAAGTTTACTCCTCTAGGGGGAAACCCACACCTCTAGCAAATTGTTCTGGAGAAATATTTGTGCAGGTATGCATGATGTACAGTTTATATACATTTCTCTCAGGAGGAATACATCTATAATAAATTTACAAGGAAACACCTCCAATTCAAAATATTTAGGCCTCCACGTTTATCTTTCAGGCTTAAGTAGAGAGATCCTTCATGTTATATTACATTACTATTTCCAAATCCTTTGGAGACATTAAAAGAAACAAAGACGATTTCTAATAACTACAGCCCTTCAGTTTCTCAAAGAGCCCAGGGGTTGAGAGGTTAGAGTGGAGTTTCCTGAGTCTTGTCGAGCAATATGTAGTTGAGGCAAAGGTCATGCTCCCGGTGTTTTGTTTTAAATAATATTGACCCATTAATTCTAAACCTGCTTGTTCCTGAAATTATACAGGATTATAGTTTGCAAACTGCAGGACAACGAAGCAAATCAAGATGAATTACAGGCCTGGCCCTCCCTCCCATCCTCTGACATCTAAACAGGGAATGAGTTCGGTGTGAGTGTTTAAATGAACTTTAAGCACCCGATCCTTCTTTATCGGCGATTTTCATCTTTTAAAAAATGTGAAATTTGATTTCATAACAAATAGAAGCAAATACCACTTAGTCCCAAAGAATTCCTCGTCGTGGCGCTAGCAGGACCTTTGTGGGGTTGGGGGGAGGCATGTGTTGAGATCTTTTGTTATTCTTATCAACACTGCGCACACTCAGAGTGGGAGAGGACAAACACCACGCTGAGGAACTTAGAGCAAAAAGTAGCAGCCGATTTTCTGGAGCCGAGAATATCATTGTTTTCGCGCCTTAGTTGCTTTCGTCTGAATGAAACTTTACCTAGAAGCTTTTGGAGCTCAGACAGCGAGTCTTTGTTCTGGAAGAAACTGCTGCTGCCACTTAAAGAGATCGCAGATAATGTCCCCGATTTGAAATCAGTGCTCAAACGCACATTCACTTTCTTGTTTTCTTTCTTTTTAAAGCTCTGCCTCTGCCTCCGACTTGCGGAGGGATCACGCAGCCGTGGGGGGCAGATAAAAGCCCTTTGGACGAGGGTCACCTCGGTCCTTGTTGTTCACTTGAGAGCAGTGGAGAGGAAAACGGTCCCCACGGGCGGACTTTGGCTTCTGGAGCCGCAGAGCCCGTCTGTCCCGGCCTCTCCGCGCCTCCGCCTGGTAGGGGGCGGGGAGGGGCACCAGCGGGAAGGGAGGGAAGGAGCTAGAAGAGAGGATTTGGGGATAGGGGCTGGAAGCGCTAACGAGACCTGCCGGGAGGATTTGCGTCTCCTGCAGGTTGGTGAGTGATTTGGGAGCTCTGGGTAAAGGAGGTAGATCTTGGCCTAGTTTGGTTGCTGAAATAGAACAACGCGAGGAAATCAATCAATCTGCAGGAAACAAAAAATGGAAGTCGTGGTTTAGGAAGAATTGTCACTGCCCGACTTGAGTGGTGCAGGCTGGGGGCGGAGACTTGGGACCTAAGAAAGGCCATTTCTCTCACCTCAGCTCCTTTCCCTTGGACTTTCAAAAGGAATAATTTTACTCTCTCCCCCGTTCTGCCCCCACTCCCATCCCCGGTAGCCTGCAGGCCGCCTGCCCCTTTCCGCACCCCCTTTTCCTGTCCAGAGAAAGAAACCTAGCTCCCAGAGCCGGTGCAGTCAGTCCCCTCGCCCCTCCCACCCCTGCGCGGGTCCCCCTCCAGCCGTCGCTACATCCACCACCTCGGTTCCACTCAATCGATTTTTGCTGCATGTCAACACTTATTACCGGTGAGTGTGAGGGTATTTTTTCTCCTTCTCTAGGTCTCTTAATGATTTCTGAGCTAGTTGTGTATTAAAGTGCTTAAAGAAACCTTTAACGTAATCTATAGCATGAGCGCCAACCTACCCCGCTTGAGTGCAAAAATGGCGAGCTCGAGGTTGGACCGGGAGGAGCCCAGGCCTCCCTGGCCTCAGCCCACCGCCGCCCCGCTCCTTGAGCGCCCAGAGGTTCGCCAGACCTTGGGGCAGGAACCCCGCTCAGGCGATCCGCCGTCTAGGGGCTTTGTCCCCGCCACCCCCACCTGTTACTAGCAGGCACCTTTTCTTCTCTCGTTATATTTGGCCTATCCTCGGGTTTTGTTTTATTTAAAAAAAAAAAAAAAAAAAGTAAACTTCTTTAAAAATTTCCAAGGCCCAAAATTCTACATTCCGCTAATACCGATTTCAGATTGGTGGAGACCTGGGAAAAGGTGTATAGAGCCCATGATTGTCTAAACTTCCTCCCCGTTCCTAAATCTGAGTTTCAATGCTTATGACTTGCTTAGAATTTTAATGTTTAAAAATATACGCGAGAGCCTGGGCCGAATAAGCAGTTTGATTAAAAGGCAAATCCTCTTCCCCTCCTTGCCCTGCTTTTTCTCCCACCCCCTTTCTATTAAATGCTGAAGCCCAGGGATGTAGAGGTGGTGGTTAGGAATGTAACAAAAAAAATTAATGGAAAAAATAAACAGCGCCTTAAAAGTCCTAATATTCCTCGAAAGCCTTATAAATTAACCCTATGAAGAGCGGTGACCCCTTTTAAGGCCAGTCTATAAAAATCCAGCGCGACCTCGAAGGAGGAAGACCCTTCCCCCATCCCTGTCGCGAATGTGACCAAACAAAGGTCTGTCCTGCAATCCACATCCTAATCCACGGACGCCCCCGCCGCCGTCGCCGGGGCTCCCCAGCCTCCAGCCTCCCACAGTCGACGGAGCTACCCTGGGAGTCCCTGGCTCCGTGATTTAACTTTTTTAGAGAAGGGGGAAAAGGAGGGGTTGTAATTAGATCAGAGGCCTTTATGAATATAGACTCCCTATTGATTGATTTATAAACCCCCTGACGAACTGCAGTTAATCTAAGTACACCAGGAAGCAAGAAACGTGGCTGACTGAAGGAGAAGTCTGGAAGTAAACAAGAGGAATTTCTAGTAGCAGATTTCTAGAAGGATTTTTTTTTTTAATAGCTTTTTGTCCCCAGCCTCCGAAACAATTGCATTAACTGAACTTGAGGAAATGGTAATTTGAGGGATTTTTGTTTATTTTTGTTGTTGTTGTTGTTTTAAGGGTGTTAAATAGAACCACCACTGTAAACACCTAACTGATTTACCTTTTCAGGTTCTAGCAAATTAAACCAGGGAAATTTTACTCTAATCTTAAAAATTTTATCACCCTTGGCCCCTCCCACCCTTCCCTGCCCCCTCCCCAAAGGGAGTACTTCTTATTGTTGACTTTATATCTGAAAAGATAGAAACTAGAATTTACTGTGTTTTGGATGCATAACTTCATTCACTTCTGTGCTATTTTATACATTTTTAAAATGTAAATGTTGATTTTAGATTTTGTTTGAAGATTAGAGAAATCCTGCAAGAAATGAAATATCCCATTGAAGATATATTTAACTCTACTTAATTACCTTTAAAAATCATTCCTACTCCTTTTGTAGCAATGCATTGCTAACAGTTCAGTGGCAGTTGTGGAAAACAGGAGCTATCTGAAGCTTAAGTTACTCTGCAGAAGAATGGCTAATAGAGCCATCTAAATTCCTCACAATTAAAAAAAATAAAAAACATGTATTGACTACATGGTAAAAGTGTTTACTTTTGGGTGGTAGTGGGGGTGCTTTTTAAATTTCCTTCCTTCAGAAGGACTAACAGAAGTGCAGACTCACAGGACTCTCCCTGGGCAGGGTGTGTGTCTGCACCCCGGGACTTTGATGGATCTTTCCAGACCTAGTTCTTCTAGGCTTCCGGCAAAAAAAAAAAAAAATGTTTAAGGTTTTTGCCTTCCCTCTTGCTCTCTCTCTTTCTCGGCCATCCCCTCCCTCTCCCGTTTTCTTTGTCCACAGCCAAGGTTTTGTTTTGTTTTGTTTTGTCTTCTCCCCCATTCCTGCAACTGAGGAAATGGCCCGCTGATGCTGGGACTGATGTACCCGCATGGGGTGGATTCTCCACAGCCCCGAGACTCCCTCACTCCAGATATAGCAAAGCATCTCTGCCTCTGCTGACAGTTTGCAGAAGTGCGGGATCCCCTCGCCCACAGTCCTGGGAAGGAACCTTTATCCTCGTCGCTCCGGAAAGATGAGACCTAGAACCATCACTGCTGTCCCCGAGAAAGCAGAGGACAGCTTATTGAATGTGACCTGGGACTCAGACCAGTAGCAGCCCAATTCTTGGGCGCATTTTCCCGCTCTGCCTGTGTCAATTTCAGCCCTTGAAACTGTTTCTGCCCCTCTAGGCAGGTATCAAGGGGTGTGTGCGTGGGGAGCGGCTTGCTGCGCTCAGTGGAACTTTCTGCGCCCAATGGCATCTTTCTCTGTCTTCCGGGATCGACTTCGGGGCCTTCTCGGCGTCGCTTTATTTGGTGCCTGCATTTGGTTGGCCCCGAGTCTCCCGGAAAGCTTCATCCTGCTGTATCCGGGCTAGCGGGATGGGATGGGAAGTTGAAGGGAAAGAGCGGACACCATAGTGGTCAGAGGTGGAGACCCTGCACGCCATCCCTAGCGCTAAGAAATGGGCTTTGCCTGTCAGAACCTAAGGCTGCAGGCTACAGATCACTTTGTTAGAAAATAAAATACGATCACGCAAAGTAAAGTAAAATAGAACCCCTCTTCTTTGGGCTCTGGGCCTCAGGCGATGTTCATTCACGGGACACTCCTGACCTCAGCTTCTCCAGATACCTCTTGAAATCTGTAAAGTCGAGGGAGGTGTTCTTATCTGATGAGACAGTGTCTTGTTTATCTGTTTCTCTGACACAAGAGAAAAAGAAGAAGAAGAAGAAGAAGAAGAAGAAGAAGAAGAAGAAGAAGAAGAAGAAGAAGAAGAAGAAGAAGAAGAAGAAGAGGAAGAAGGGGAGGAGGAAGAAGAAGAGGAACCTCTTGCAAATGCTGGGCTGCAGCTCTGGGCTACAGCTTCCCAGCACGAAACTCCTCATCCCGGAGCCTCCTTTCCCTACGTGGCTTGACCAGCTTGTCATCGCCATGCGCCAGGAGATGGATGTTTGGACAGGTGACCAGGACCTTTTGGACCCATGATTTCCGTGGGGAGCACGCGGCCCTGCTCTTAGAACGACCCGAAATGCAGCCGCTCCACCAGAACTTGCCCCCAGGTGCTGCTTTTCTTAGGACCTCATTGGCAGTCTACGCCGTGGTTAGGTTACAACCACCTCGTCCTACCTCTTTCCACTGACTATAACAGCTGCTTTATCTTAATGTTCTTTTTTTTTTTTTTTTTTTTTTTTTTTTTGGTCCGATGATACGGTGGAAGGGCGCTGGTAAGACGTGCTGCTTGCCTCCCTTTACCCTGACGGTATTTTCAGAGGCACTCAGTGAAACGAGAACCCGGAGGGCTGCCTACGCCCCTCCGGGTCGCCCTCTCGGCCCGGGCACTCGAAGGTTGCATGTCCCTCTGGACAACAAAACCGGAATCTAATCTGCAGCTGCCACCACGCCCCCACTTCCCGCGCGCGTCCCTAGCCGGAAGCCCCAGGCAGGGCATCTCAGCCCCCACCCGCGAGCTGCACCGACTGCCCGCGGGGTCCCGCTGGGGCGCAGCGCTGTCCCTCGAGCCAGCGCTCCGGACGCCCCCGCAAGCGCAGCCTGGCTGGCCGCCCCGTGGGCGGTCTGGGCTCAGCTCTGGCGCGGCCTTGCCGCTGCTCCTCCAAAATCGCGCGCCAGGCTGGGCCACAGCTGTGACCATTTTTCTGCTCTCTTCTAGTCCACCCAGGGAGTCCAGGGCCGGAGGAGCCCCCAGCCACATCCCCTTCTCACCCTTTCTCTGGCCTCCGCGCCTTCACTCCCGGGCAGCCATATACCTTGAATGGGTCATGCCTGCCTGCCTCCTTGGAGCTGCGTCTTGAAGCCCAGGGGTTGAACATTAACCGGCTGTGGCTATAGACTGAGGTAAAACGTTACGTATAAAAATGAATCATCTATCCAGTCCCTGGAGAGAGGACCTATAGAGAGCTCTGAACCTAGAGCAGCCCCAGCCTTGTCCCTGGCCCAATGTACTGACTCTTCTGGGGGCCACTTTCCAAGGACAGTTCAGCAGTAGGCAGCGGAGGACACAAGGGGGGCTGGAGGGATGGGGGTGACCGAGCCAACCGTTCTCCTCGCGGAGCTTGAGGTTCAGGTCTTCGAACGCAAGAAAATTTCCTTTTCTCTGACACTTGAGAATGATCTCCAACATTTTATCTCTTACAAAGGTTAATGGGGGAAAGCTGGAGTCTAGGAGGAGCGGCTGCCCACAGGGCCGAGAACTGTCGTGCTGCTGCCATCCCTGGCACCCGGGGCAGAATCCCGAGAGGCAGGGCTTAGTGGGTTGGGAGTGGCAGCAAAAGCCCTGAAACCAGGGCCTGAGTAGGGAGGGGAGGCGCGCGGTGGGCGGTGCGCCCGACCTGGCCCTGGGCCTGAGACCATGCGGAAGTCCTGGCTTGTGGTAGCGCTGAAATCCTAGGCTCCCATCCGATCCCACCCGCAACTGGTCTGGACCCTGCCTCTTTCTGACTATATTTGTTTTTTCTGTAAACATAAGTAATGAAAAGTAAAATGCGTGGCACTGACTTATGTGCTAGACCCACGTGCCCAAATATACAGAATTTACCAAAAGATAACAGAGCTGAAGGAAGAATTCAAGACAGTGCACATCCTAAGTTCCTGTGCTCTCACCTGGAAGCGTTACTGACAGAGGCATTCAGCAAATTTCTGAATAGGAAGATGATTCCGTTTCTGTATCTCTGTCTCTCTACCTCTGTCTAACCTCTGCTCCCCCTCCCCCACTGAAGAAAAGAGATAAGTTGGGTGCCGGCAAAAGGGAGATGTGATGTTACTAGGGCTTTCAGGAATTGCCAACCAATCTGCAAATTCTTGTACCACTTAAGGAGACTTTTTTTCTTATGCAAAGTAGTTTTATTTAAAATGCATGCCTAACTCATTATAACCTTGTTATTATTATTTTAAATATTATTTTTTTAACAGATGGCACTCTCTGCCTCAACCTGGACCCTGACTCTGACGTGCTTATTGAAACAGAAGTTTCGCTGAAAGCATTCACTGAAATCTCTGTACTTACGGGTATGAGAAAGTGGCAGCGGTGGTGTGCGTGTCTGCTGAGAACTCTGCATCGCTGCATTACTCTCAAGGTCACATCCTAGCTTCTTCAAAGTTAGAAAGGAAAAGAACACACTATGAACACACTGCTTCTGTTTCAGTGTGTTCACAGTCTGTATAGCGATCCTGAGAATTTTTGGCAGGGGATGGAGGGTGGCAGCAAAGACATGGAGTAAACAAGACTTTCCAGAGTGTCAGCAGGCATCAACAATGTGGCAAGTGCTGTGTATGCGTATTAATTGAACATCACCAATCAGTTCATTCTCAAAGAAAATGGCTTTCTGTTTAAGATGTGGTTACAGAGTGTTCATCACTTCGTGTAGTGTCACTGCTCTGTCAGTGCACACAATGCTCTTTGTCGTTCCTATAGAGCGATTCAGCTCAACTTTGTCAGCACCAAATTTGGTGTTATTCCACACTCCCTCCCAAAAAATAGTATTGACTCAAATGTTCCACTAAATTAGCTCTAGAGAGACAATGAATGCATCGAAGCAAATAAATACAAAGAAGTATGAATCACACACTCAGTTGCTTTTCAGTGACTTACAGAAATGTACGTGGGGAAAGGGTATTTACTTTTAAGGGCTTGAGTAGTTGGGGAAAAGAGTATTCTAAAGGGTATTGCAGTGTTCACTCAAACCTTCTTCCCCACCAAATTACCATGTTATCTGACACCCTCGATCTATTTGTGTCCTGAGTAACAGACGGTTTGACCAAGAGGTCACAGACTAGAGGGCTTGGGTGACTGGAAACAAGTTTGACAAGAAAGGAATCTGGGTGGGGTGCCACCATGGAGGTGGAAAGAGGATGAGGCCACCATGGCTGGAGCAGCCTGGCAACCCAAAATCTGCTGGACCCTGCGTTTACACAAAATGCCTTGTCAGGGAATGGGAAATTAGGAATAGCTGTTAACACAATTTCATGGATGAGAAAAATTTAAGTTTCTCTCTCCATTCCTTTTCTTTATCTTCCCTTTTTCTACCTTCTTCTTGCCCTTCTTCTGCATCAGGTGACTCTCCCCAGAATTTTGGCTGCTCCTGAATGAAGCCCTGCTTATCCTCTCTTTTGAATTAAGGCTTCAGGTGGTTTGTAGTGTTCACTTTTCCAGATATAATACATGTTTTATTCAGTCAAGAGTCTACCTGTAAACCACGTGTACTTGTGAATATGGAGTGCTTCTATGAACAGTACAAGTTTCAGGTTGAATAAGTAAAGTGTGCAATATTGCATACTTTAGCATTTCAGAGTGCAAGAAGGACAGTGCACACTCTTTAATAAAGCCCCACTGCATGCCAGGGACACTGGGAGAGTGAGTGAGCAGAATTCTTTCACCCAGGCAATATGACCCTTGGCATTATGGCCACCAAAGTGGGAAATCTCCATTTAGTTTGCCATTCTCACTTTGAAAGCTCCTCCTCCCCTAAAACTACCATCTGTGCACTTGTACACATTGTCAAATTTATGTGTCCCAAGAAAACACTGAAACAGTCCTTTGAAAAGTTTATGTGCTAAACTTTTCATGAAAACGCATTTTCCTTCTGCTAAATCCTCCTTTTATTGGCTCAGCAGAATTTTATTGTATTTTTCTCTTTCTTGTACAATTGAGAAACACCTTCATTATCATCCTACAACTCGTCAGATTAGAACTTGGTTGAAACATCTTTTACTCCACAGAAGCGCTGCCCTATTTCACCCTCCTTTGGCTCTTTCTTTTCCTTTCCAACTTCTTCCACTAAGTGATTCTTCTAAGAATCACTTAGAGGTAATTCTAATCTCATGACTCTGTCCCTTTTTACTTTTTCATTTTATTTCTGGCCACTTAGTGTTCCCATACTTCCTAACTAACTTTCATCCATATTACTCCTTTGGCAATTACCATATGGGGTGTTTCATTATAAGTTAAGATTTTGTGGGTCATTGTTTTTAGCTTCTTGTGGTGGCTTGGCACAACACCTTGTAAAGGAGTAGATATTCAATAAATGCCTATTGATCAAATGTTACAATTAAAATCTTTGTTCACAAAAACAAAAGTTCAAAGACAATAAAATCTATTGAATTGGCATAAATAAAATCTCAGATTAATTCTAATTATTTTCTAATCCTTTTCCCAACAAACTAGACATGTGAAAGAATTCTATAGTAGAAATTCCATTATAATGTTTTTAAACACTGCCAGCATCTTCCCTACATCAGAGCAGTTTTAGGATGATGAATCATGATCAGGGTTCATAAGATACTGAACAAATTTTAATATTTCCTAATGTACTATTAAAGAAGTTTTTTAAAAAATCTGGTTTGGGGAATACATGTGGTAAGGGAAATACAAAAGGGTGGAAGACATATCAATGACAGAAGTTTCCAGCTCACTGTTGTCTTGTGTCATTTTACTAGTTAAGAGATTATCATGTCCAATTCGCCCTTCCTTTACGCTTTTTAAAATTTCACTGGTCACAGTGTATAGTAAAATATAGTGTATCAAAATATATTATGAATAAAGTTATTTATTCTTATAGTTAGGGACAAAAAAACCCTGAGAAATTAAAAATATTAATTCAAAAACAACGGAAAAGACTTAACCCAGGCTGGTTATGGTGACTCATGCCTACAATCCCAGCACTTTGGGAAGCCGAGGCAGGGGTTTGAGAGCAGTCTGGCCAACATGGCAAAACCCCGTCTCTATTAAAAATACAAAAAATTAGCCAGGTGTGGTGGTGGGCACTTGTAATCTCAGCTACTTGGGAGGTTGAGGCAGGAGAATTGCTTGAACCCAGGAGGCAGAGGTTGCAGTGAGCCGAGATCTCACCATTGCACTCCAGCCTAGCAAAACAAACAAACAAACAAGCAAAAGAGAGAGAGACTTAACCTAATCAGACTTTGATTAGAATCACACACCAAACAAATCATAGTTATTTTTATTTCTGCTCATTTTTGTCCAGTAGGCCTCACATATCTTTGATGAATTTATGGGTGGTAGAATATTCCTTAGAACACTGACCATATCCACATCTACTTTCCAGCTGTTACCTAAACAACAAAACTAAACACACTTCACCACAAACAGTGGGAAGAATGGTGTTACCTTTGATGAAACATCTATGGAGCATTTGGTAATTCTTAATATATACCGGGGGAAAAAATGTTTCACCTTATTGTGCTAAATAAATAAATAATGTATATATAAGCAAACAAATAAATAAAATGCTCAATACTGGAGTGGTAGAGAAATTTTAATGACTTTTAATTCAGTGGGTTTTGCAATGCCTGCAGAACTTTTGAAGACCCCAGTCTCTGGTGGAAACCCACTAGTCCTGGTCATGCTGTCTCTTAGTGGGCACTACAGGGAGGGGTAGTTGGCTGTGGATTCCAGAAACCAAGGGGGAAGATGACTGGGAACTTACAAAAAGGTAACAGATTTGTCACATTATTTTTGGTTGTCTCATACACTATCATTTAAAAAAATTGTCTACACTTTCATAAAGCAATGGGTCAATATTATTTTCACAGTACTCTTAACATTTTTTAACCTTTATTTTATTCATGAGCTTTTCCAAATATAACAATATAGAGTGATGCAGAAGATAGTTTGTTGGGTACTTTCTATGAGCCAGGAACTGAGCCAGTACTTTTTATATATTAATGTTATCTCAGTCAGTTCTCACAACAACGCTGTAAAGTAGATAATATTATTTCCTTATTTGACAGGTGAGAAAACTGATTCTCAGAAATAAGTTGCCTCAGACTGCTGAGTAATGAGTGTCAGAATCAGAGCTAGCATAGGACTCAAATTAGGCACAAAATGACAAGACCAAAGAATTGCTCGCCTTCTGCATCACGTTCTGCCGATGATTAGAAAGGATCACTCATAAATTAAAAGTGCTATGAAAGTAATATTCCCTAGTTATGAGATGAATAGTGCTTGAGAAAGATGGAGATTATAGTAACTGAGCCAATCAAAGGCAAAGTTGTTTCACTCTTTCACATGTGTTTCAGAGCACATTTCCTACCCTAAAGCAATGGACAACTTGTCAAGGCAGTTCAAAATGTGACATTTTATATATGATAGGAAAGGCAGCCAATATATATATATATACACACACACATGCCTCTTTTATATATATATATATATATATATACACACATATATATACAAAAATATATACATATATCCATATGTATGTTTGTGTACATGTATATGTACACACACATATCAGTTGGCATATGATCAAATGATTTTTTTCCTTGGTCTTGTACATTATGACTTGTTCACTCCTTTCTTGCTTCTCTCCACCCCCATTGACCCTTTTGAGGCTAACTCTAGATCTCACCTTAGACATCACTACTTTAAGAAAGGCCTCCCTGACACTCTGGCATTGGGTTAGGTTAACGTGCCCTTCCTGTGTGCTTCCATAACCATATCAAAGCACCTAACACACTTTTATGAACTTAACACGTTTGAAGATTAGATCAGTAGTTTTCTAGCAACTCACAGCTTGCCCGTTGTGCTATTTTTGCATGATTAGATTCAGATTATTTATATTTCATGATAGTCAGTATATCACAGTGCTGCTATGTTCTTACGGTATCCTGTCAGGAGGCAAACATAGCAATTTTTCCATACTTGATTACGTTAATTCATTACTTAAGGTGGTGTCTGCTTCGTTACTTTAATGTTTAAAGTATTTAATATCTTCTCTATCAACGTTATGCTTTTTCCATTGTAATTAGTATTTCAGGAGCAGCTTTATGGTGAGAAATTGAAACCTCCTGCCAACAGCCATGTGAATGAGCTTGGAAGCAGATTCTCCATCTCTTCAAATAACTGCAGCCCTGGAGAACAACTTAAATGCAACCTCCTGAGAGTCTCCAAGCAAGAGCTACCCAATTAAACTCCTGTGACATTCTTCAACCTCAAAACTGGGATGAGATGACAAATATTTATTTTTTTAAATGCTAAGTTTTGGGGCAATCTGTTGCTTTACAATAACTAATACACTACCTACATTCTATATTCCAAAATTTTTCGTCACTTTTCATCTATTATAGTCTCTCTCCTTCTTTGCACTTGAGGGTTTATTTATTTTTTCTTTTATGTTGCCATTTTAATAGCACTCGGGGGAAATTAGAGAGACACAAACATAGTCAATTCACCAAATTTTGCCTGAAGTCCAAGGAAGTAAATCTTAAGTGCAGATTTGGAGGAGGGAAGGGATAGGACTTAGTAATGCTGTGTAAGAAAAATATTTGAGACAGAAAAAAACTGAGATAAACACTAGGAGGTAAAGAAAACAATTTTGTTGGAAAATCAAAAGCAATTGAAAAAGATACCTTTATTTCACATTTAATTAATATGATTCTGATTTTTAAGAATATGATCTTAGAAATACTTATTTTTTCTGCCCAACACCTCTCCCCTTTCTGGAAATAGAACTAGCCTTTTTGGGGGAAACGTGATCTTCTTATTTCTCGTACCATATTGTTCTAATACACGCTGCCAATTATAAAACTGATCTCTGTGTCCACAAGAGTAAGCACGTGAGCTTGGCTGCCTTTTGGGTCCTTCCACAGGAATCTTCACGTGAACATTTCAAAAAAGGAAGTCTCCTTTTCATGATGAAGAGATGAGTTGTCAAAAGCCAGGTTCTTCAGGGCAGAAGATTTCAAGAGAAACACAGATGAGAGTTGGAGGGAGAGAGAGTCCTGCTGGTGTCTGTTACTATGACCCTTGAGGTCCAGTTAAACGCCCTTCTTGAGACTTTGCTATTCTGGTCATCATATTTCCTGTTTTGCCTAAGGTGGTTCACATTGGGTTTCTGTCACTTGGAAAATACTTTCTGATTCAGTGGACCAGAGTTCCTTCCCCCTCCCATGAATAGTCTTCTCCCATAGAGAGACAGAGAGAGAGAAAAAAAAAAAAGTACCTTTGAATCCAGGATTTGAGATAGTCTTTGGGATCCTCAGATGCTCACGTGTAAGTAGAAAAATTTCATCTTCTAATCGTCCTCTACTAACATTGACTGGGAATTATTGCAGGGGTGAGGAAGGAGAGTTGTGTACACACACCCACACCTGTTAAGCTTTTTTGCCAACATAATAATATTTATTGAAGTTCTATTATGTTTCAGGCACTTTCATAAACAGCTGCTCTATCTTAGTCCAAGACACTAGATTTTCACACTGTTCCTAATTATAGATGAGATGATATCTTTAAAATAAAAGATGTTAAATATTTGTCTTTACAAGATGAAAACGTTATGAGTAAAGATTATGTGCACCTTGCTACCCTTTCTCCAAGTTTAACCTACCACCAATTGGAGGTTTCTTTTGCTTTTATGACACAAGTTTATCTTCAAAAAATGAAATAGAATTTCAAATGCAAATACCATTTTAGTATTACTACTAGAATGACTTGTTTCTAAAGACATTTTTGAGAAAGATTATTAAAAACAAACAAGAAATTTAAATCAAACTGTAACTAAATAGCATGACTTGCCTTGAAATTCTAGCTTTATTCATACAAATTTGTGTCCCCAAAAGAAGCAGACTGAAAACAAGTCAGCCCAAATCCATATAAACAGATTTAAGTTAGGGAGAGCGGTGATGTTAAAGACATTAATTCCAGCTTTGATTATTACTTTGAAACTTGGACAAACAGTGTTTCTCCAGTAATTTCTCGTGTATTTGTTTCCCTCTTAGTCTTCCTGATGGAGATGGTTACAACAGCCTAGAGCACTCCTCTGAAGAGATATCCATACTGGTAAAGGTATGAACTTCTCATTTTTGCAGTGGGTGGTCCATCACAAAAATTCCCCAGTGGCTGAGAATCTGAAGCCTACTCAGGCCTCCCATAAGCTTCAGTATTTAAACATTGTTAGATGTAATTTTTTTTTTGTAATTAGGTGTAATTTAAGATGTGAACTATTAGAACTAACAATAGGTAATTGGCTTTTTCCAATTTTCCCATCAGAAAACATTAAGGAATTCCCAGCATATTCTGTTGTTAAGATGATGACACGGTCTGTGTCAAAAATTAAATTTCTTCCCACCCACTTTAAAAAATGCAACACCTTATTTCCTTACTCTACTCTGCCATTTCTCCTATTATATCTAAGTCTTTTTAATTGTTAAATACACATGCATATTTAAGATGCATCAAAATTAATTATATGTTTTTGTTTTCTAAATTAATTAAAAAATTGTTGGATGCTATTGCAAGGTTCAGTGCTAGGCACAATAGAGGATAAGAAAATAATAATTATTTATTAAGTGTTTTGGCCAAGTGTGGTGGCTCATGGCTGTAATCTCAGCACTTTGGGAGACTGAGGTGGGTGGATCACTTGAGCCCAGGAGTTCAAGATCAGCCTGAGCAACCTGGCAAAACCCAGTCTACAAAAATCAGCCAGGCATTGTAGTGCATGCTTTACTCTGGAGGTTGAGGTGGAAGGATCACCTGAGCCCGGGATATCAAGGCTGCAGGGAACTGTGATTGTGCCACTGCACTTCAGCCTGGGTGACAGAGCAAAATCCTGTCTCAGAAAAAAAAGTTCATGACCAGCCTGGTCAACATGACAAAACCCTGTCTCTACTAAAAAAAATACAAAAATTAGCTAGTCATGGTGGCATGTGCCTGTAGTTTCAGATACTCGAGAGGCTGAGCCAGGAGAATCACTTGAACCCAGGAGGCAGAGCTTACAGTGAGCTGAGATTGTACCACTGCACTCCAGCCTGGTAGTGGTTGGACAGAGTGAGACTCTGTCTCAAAAAGATAATAATTATAATAAACAAACAAACAAAAAAATCCAGCAGTGTTTTGTACCAAATTTATATCTCATTTAATTCTGACAACAAATCTATGAAATAGGCATTGTTATTCTCATTTTACTAATGAGGAACTTGAGGTAGCAAGAGATTAATTTGTCCAAGATCATTCAGTTATGAACTGATAAAATTGAATTGAAATCTGAGATCATTTGACCTCTAAAGGTTTTTCTCTTAAGCACACTATACCTTGTTCCTACATAGCACGCTGAAACCAATGTATAATACTTACCCAACTCATTTCATGATGATTTCAACTCACGAAGAACCACTTTTAAGTAAGGCATATGTGTTATAACCTATGCTCTCAGGAAGCTTAAAATACCCAAGAAGAGATAAATTATGTAGGCAAATAACCGACATTTAAGTAAGAATTCAATGAATACCTTAGGAGTGGTACAAAATATGATGGACTTTCAGAAAAGATTGAGAATACTTCCAGCTGGGAGGATCAAGGCATCATGTTTGATATTTCTTTTGATTTTGGCTTTGAAAGATGGGAGAGGTTTTAATAAAAGCATCAGGAAATTATTTCAGGCAGAGTAAAAAGCATAGTAAAGACTTGATGGTAGGCCTGGCACAGTGGCTCACTTCTATAATCCCAGCACATTGGGAGGCTGAGGTGGAAAGATCACTTGAGCCCAGAAGTTTGAGGCCAGCCTGGGTAACATGGCAAAACCTTGTCTCTTCAAAAAATACAAAAATTAGCCAGGCATGTTGCCATGCCTGTAATCTCAGGTACTCTGGAAGCTGAAGTGAGAGGATCGCTTGAGCCTGGGAGGCACAGGTTGCAGTGAGTCCAGGTCACACCAGTGCACTTCAGTCTTGGCAACAGAGTGAGACCCTGTCTCAAACAAAAAAAGGAGAAAAGAAAAAAGGAGAAGACTTGATGGTAGATGTGGGATGAGTTTGGTGAACCAAGACTAATCCAGTGTGAAGTAATGGTGGAAGATAAGTCTGAAGCTAAACTGTGGCTAGAATGTGGCTGACATGGAAAACTAGGCCAAGAAGTTTAAAGTTTATTGTGCAGGCAGTGAGAGGGTGGGATTTCTACTGGGGTTTCTGAGCAGTGAATGAATGGAAAGGTGCTGTGCTTTAGTGAGTTAATGGGTCAAGGATATGTGGCCAGATGAACTACAACAAGAAGTAAACCAAAGGGTTTAAACTGGGGATTATGGTAGAGAAAAAAGAAGACAAAGCGGAGGAAGACCACCAAAAGACTAATGGATGAGAGCGTTTAGAGAAAGAACAAGTAACTTCAAGTTTTTTAATATATGTGACTGACTGAATGAGAAGGTGATTAGCAAAACTTAGAAATGCTATTTATTTGAAGAGGAGTTTCTTAAGTTGGATGAACAAGAAAGGGAATCAGTCACGGCAAGGCAGGTAAAAAGAAACAAAGTTTTGGAATCCCAGCATCAGGAAGCCTAGATGTTTGGTACAGAATGAAACAATTGACATGTTCATCTAAGACTGACCTTACTGAGAGATCAAGTAATTACAATTATTATGGTTTGCAAGGCAGCCAGAAGCTTGCCCCAAACTTTTCACTTACTTGCCAACTTTACCAGGAAATATACACCATTAGATAGTTTATTATGGATTAAGGCATTGACAACAAATGTTCCCTAAATTTTATTAGAATGTCCAACTTCTTCCTTATCAGAAATAGTCAAAGTTTGATCATATAGTTGGAGAATTAAAAATACTCCCAGTTTGGAACACTGGGGGCATACTTAGGGTGTCAAGGGAAGGTTTCTTGGGGCAGAAGGAATTGGATACTGACATGGTTTGGCTATATCCCCACCCAAATCTCATTTTGAATTCCAGCATATTGTGGGAGGGACCAAGTAGGAGGTAACTGAATCATGGGGAGCTTCTGCTGAGGAAAACATTAACAGAAACTGGAGGAAACGGAGATCGTTTTCATACAGTGGCAGAAAATTAAGCAACATAGTTACCTGAAATACTGTGGAACTGGATATTGTATAAAATGGATGATCTAGGTAGAAAATTACCAGTCAGAGTTTGGAAGGTATTTCTTGTTTTTTATATTAAATTGTGAGAGAGAAGAAGATAAGCTAAAGGACAGGTTGTCAAACCAAAAGAAGCTGAGACTTGTTGGCCTTGAAAATTGCTAGCCTCTCAAGATGGGAAACAATGCTAAAATAAAGAAATGGTTTCTTGACAAAGATCAAACCCAGGCATTGCCAGATGTCAGACAACCATGGTGTAAAAATGAAGCTGAGGATATGGTTGTAAAGTCCTTTGCTAAGACCTTAGAACGATCTAAGGTTGTACCTCAGAGAACTGTTCAGTAATATTAGAGCTTCTGAGAAGCTTAAGAATAAACTCAGCACAAGCTCTGAATATAGAAGAGCTTATCTCAAACAGATTTGTGGGTGTGGCTTTTGTATAATGGAATTAACTCCAGTAAGATTCACAGGAGACGCACAAAGTTTTTAAGAGTATTTAACTGTTAGAAACATCAACAGGTTGAACTGAGAGAACAAAATAAAAGATGCTTTTGTACCTCCAAATTTCTACTGGCAGTAACCAGACTAGGAAAAATACACAGCTGCAAACATAGGCTACCTTTCTTGGACATATAAATTGGCTCAGAAAATAGAACCAAAACTTCAAAGGTCTAAGCCAAGAATCAGACAATCATTCCCAGGAAGCAGTAGGAATGAGTACTAGTGAAAAGTACCTAACATTTGCCTAACCAGTTTTCAAAATTGCTGTGGATCAGTGACTCTTATATGCCTTTTGTTTTCCACACTTTGAGCAGAAGTGTCTATAGTGGTTATCTTATTTATGTTCCATCATTGTATGTTAGGTGTGTATGTGGGTAAGGAGGATCATATTTTTTATCTCTTTAGTTCACAGATGTTTAGATCAAGGAATTTTTCTCAAGGAGCTATATTCAAGGAACCACACTCAAAAATCCTTATTCACATCTGGGTATGGTTGAGATGGCAAGATTGTAGACTTTGAGATTACACTGTAATGGAATGAGATTTTTGATGTCCCTGAGAATATGTAAGTATTCTTTGCATGTGGGATAGACATTAGTCACTAGGGGATAGGGGATAGACTCTAGTGCCAACCACTAAGATGACTTCCAGGTAATCCCTGCTTTCTGGTACTCATGCTCCTGTGTAGCCCCCTCCCATAATGAATAAAGCTGACCTGTGCACTAATAGTGTGTTATGTTAATGTCAATGTGTGATTTCAAAGGCTAGCACATAAAATATCTTGTGGCTTGGATCTCTCTTTTTGTCCTTCTCAGATAACTCATTTTGGGAGAAGTCAACTGTCATAGCATGTCATGAAGATACTCATGCAGTCTTATGGAGAAGTTCATTGGTGAGAAACTGAGCTGGAATAAACTTGACAGCCATGTGACTGAGCCATCTTAGAAGCAGATCTTCAGCCTCAGACAACTTTCAAAGAATCGTAGACCTAGCTGAGATATCAACCACAATCTCATGAAAGAATCTCATGATTCTGAACCAGAATCATCCAGTCAAGCTGCTCCCAAATTCCTGAGCCACAGAGACTGTGTTAGATAATAAATGTTTATTGTTGTTCTCAGCCACTACATTTCTAAATTATTTTTTATTTATTTTTAGACATAAGGTCTCACTTTGTTGTCCAGGCTGGGGTGAAGTGGCTATTCACAGGTGTGATTGTAGCAGACTACAGACTTGAACTCCTGGGCTCAATTGATCCTCCCCCCTCAGCCTCCCAAATAGCTGTGACTACAGACATGGACCACACACCAGGCTAAATTTTGGGGTAACTTGTTATGCAGCAATCTCAATATGAGGCAATGGTAAGACATTACTGCTTAAAAATGTTATGTGTTTTTTTTGGCTGCATCAATTGAATAAAGGTTCCATATAATCTATTAAGAGTCCACTTCTAGATTTACACCAGTGTAGGATATTGTTTATAGCTTGAGTCATATAATTTGACAGGCATTGGTAAAGATATTGAGAGCACTAAAGTACTATCCAGATGGTGAAAACAACAAAATATAACATAAAAAGTGCTTCAGTCAACTGATGATGTTTAACCTTGAGTAGACTAAGGAATGACATGGTATCTATACAAGTATTTAAAGCTGTAGTGTAGGGAAGATATAACAGATTTATTCTGAATATCCTGTGTTCTTTCAAAGGGGAGAAAAAGAACAAAAGACTAAATGTTGTAGAATGGGTAGATCGCAACAAAATATATGGAAGCCCTTTTTTCTGATGCTTCATTCTTTAACAAAATAATGATGTACACATTGGAAAAGTTGAAACATAGGCAAGATTACCATGATTTAAAAAAGGTAGTTCAGAAAGCTCCTAAACTGCAATGTTGAATAAACTTTACAAAATGGCCATAAGTCTGCTTCCCTGTTTGATCTAAGGCACACTTAGTTTACTACAATAATCCAGCAAATTTAGAGGCACTCCGTTGCCCAAACCTCCAAAGCCTTGCAGAAGGACCATCTTAGGTGACACAGTGGACTTTCTACAGATGTACAGAATGTAATATAAGTGTTTTCCCAGATAACACCATCATCTAGATACAAAGCGGAAAGACTGAAAGACCACTATAGAGGAAGATACCGCTTATTAGTATTTGGTCTAAAGATTTTTTTAAAAGGCTTCTCAAGGATAAATGTATTTTTCGAAGCTAAGATTCAGATTCAGCTTTGGCTTCATTTTAAATAAATACACTCTGGATTCAAATGATTTCTAAAATCTAAAGCTAACTTGCATATCACAAAGTACAAACAAGATAAGCACAAATCATTTTCTTTACTGAGAATGATTTCATTAATACTGTTAGAGGCTTATCAGGAGAGTCCATTATATGCCATATATGTGCTAAACTTTCACTCAGTAAACCAAACTTACATAATTATTCTTCTTTTTCTTCTTCTTCTTCCTCTTCATCATAATTATTATTCTTCTCCTCCTCCTTCTCCTTCTCCTTTTCCTCCTTCTCTTTCTCCTTCTCCTTCTTGTCTTGTTCTGTCACCCAAGCTGGAATACAATGGCACAATCATGGCTCAATGCAGCCTTGAATTCCTGAGCTCAAGTGATCCTCCCACCTCAGCCTCCTGAGTAGCTGAGACTGCAAGCACATGCCACCGCACCAGCTACTTTTTAATTTTTTGTAGAGATGAGGTCACTACGTTACTCAGGCTGGTCTTGAACTCCTAAGCTCAAGCTATCCCGCTGCCTCAACCTCCCAAAGTGCTGGGATTACAGGAGTAAACCAACATTCCTGGCAATATTTTTTTTTTTATTTTTGAGATAGGATTTCCCTCTTTCGACCAGGCTGGAGTGCAGTGGCATGATCTCAGCCCACTGCAACCTCCACCTCCCAGGTTCAAGTCAACCTCCTGCCTCAGCCTGTAGCTGGAACTACAGGCATGTGCCGCCACGCCCAGTTAATTTTTTTCTTTTTTGAGATGAGGTTTCACCATGTTGCCTAGGCTGGTCTCAGACTCCTTAGCACAAGAAATTTGCCTGCCTCAGCCTCCCAAAGTGCTGGGATTACAGACATAAGCCACCACACTTGGCCTCTGGCAGGATGTTAAAATCTTAATTATCTATGTAATACTCACAATTTTGGGGTCACTTAAAAGACATAGTTATTTCTTTTCTTGAATAATAAAAAGAATTAGAAAAGATGAGTTCATATACTAATTCTTAAAAACAACTTAGAAATTATTGTAGGGATAATATAAAAACAATTCTTTATTAGATAATTGTATTAGTCCATTCTCACACTGCTATAAAAAACTACCTGAGACTGGGTAATCTATGAAAAAAAAATAGATTTAATTAACTCATGTTTCTACAGGCTTAACAGGAATATGACTGGAAGGCCTCAGGAAACTTACAATTGTGGCAGAAAATGAAAGGGAAGCAAGCACGTCTTACCATGGCAGAGCAGGGGTAAGACAGTGATAGGGGAGGTGCTATGCACTTTCAAACAACCAGATCTCATGAGAACTTCATCACAAGAACAGTAAGAGGAAAGTCAACCCCTATGATTCTATCACCTCCCACTAGGCCCCTCCTTTAACATGTGAGAATCACAATTAAAAATTAAACATGAGATTTGGTTGGTCACAGAACCAAAGGATATCAATAATTTTGCATAATGTAATAATATTTCCTTAAATAGAAATGTGGAAAATAAAGCCATAATATTTTACCAGTTATCTTTGAAGTTAGGACTATTTTCTTGTTTTTATCACATAGAAACTGAATTTAACATTTATGTAGCCGGGCGCGGTGGCTCATGCCTATAATCCCAGCACTTTGGGAGGCCGAGGCGGGTGGATCACGAGGTCAAGAGATAGAGGCCATCCTGGTCAACATGGTGAAACCCCATCTCTACTAAAAATACAAAAAATTAGTTGGGCATGGTGGCACGTGACTGTAATCCCAGCTACTCGGGAGGCTGAGGCAGGAGAATGGCCTGAACCCAGGAGGCGGAGGTTGCGGTAAGCCGAGATCAAGCCATTGCACTCCAGCCTGGGTAACAAGAGCGAGACTCCGTCTCAAACAAACAAACAAACAAACAAAAAACATATGTAGGACATATATAAATGTTATACAAACATGTATGTGTTATCTATTGTGCTTTGAAGATGAAGAGTCTGGTAATTGTCAAATATGTTTTGTTTTGTTTTTTGAGACGGAGTTTCGCTCTTGTTGCCCAGGCTGAAGTGCAATGGCTTGATCTCGGCTCACCGCAACCTCTGCCTCCTGGGTTCAGGCCATTCTCCTGCCTCAGCCTCCCGAGTAGCTGGGATTACAGTCACGCGCCACCATGCCCAACTAATTTTTTGTATTTTTAGTAGAGATGGGGTTTCACCATGTTGACCAGGATGGCCTCGATCTCTTGACCTCGTGATCTAACCGCCTCGGCCTCCCAAAGTGCTGTAAAATGTTTTAATGGTTTCATTTTTCAAATTTATTAAGACATTAATCATATTTTCATTAGAATAACATATATGAAAATGCTGACTTTTAAGTCCGAAGTTAACTTTTTTTTTTTTTTTTGACATTATAGAGCCCCAGTGTTCTGAGCTCTTTCCCCAAGAGCCTGGCCCATATACAAGCCCATTTTTCAATTGCTGTCTGAAAAAAATCTAATGTCCAGAACTTTTTCTGATCATTGCTTCTTCAGGCTAATCTTTATTTGTCCATCACCTTTTTTTTGTTTGTTTTATATTACTAATATAGATTAAGGAGAAAAAATATAAAGCAAAGTATGCATAAATACATAAATATTCATGTATTATGTGTAATTGCCTTTCAGAACCTTAGTTACTATGCCAAGATTTTTAGATTCTAGCTCAAAGTTCTTAAATTATTTGTTTTATAGCTGAAAGGGAATGTCTGTTTTTTTCACTTCTTATTAAGTCCCTTCCTAGCCTATGAGCCTTTACCAATCCCTAGGATCCACTGGGATTAACATTTATAAACTGCAAATACACAAAAAGCCAAGGGCCAAGGATTTCCAAATAGGTATAAATACGTTTTCCTTACAATGATAAAATGAGGTAATACAAATCATCATTAAGGAGAACGGAGAACTCTCATTTTCAATGTATACTGCAATTAAATTAAGTTTCTCTAAAAACCCAACTGGTCTGGGGTTAGAATCTAAAATGTATGAGAAAGTAGATTTCTTCTAATGATAGGAGCACCCACTTTTCATATGGAATGGCTTTGTGTGACTCAATGTTAAATATTTAAAATACTAAAAAATTTAATGGATTTAGTTCCCTTCTTCAAAAGGGCAAGGGCTTTTAACTTCTAAAGCCACTTTTACATTATGTTTGCAGATTTAGTTTTAAGAATATTATAGCATAAACTAAGTAAACATTGCCAGAATGTTTTTCAATATGGAGTATAATTTTTATTGTCATGAATTTATTTTTCTATAATGGGAACTAACCTCACATAATTTTAAAAGAAGATAAATTTTAAAACGTAAAATGAATGGATTTGTTTTCTCAACTGTCTCCATAAATTACATGTCAATATAAAAATATTTCATTGTTATAAGTATATAGAACATTTATGAAATCCAATATTCCTTTTCTTTGTCATCGTTTAAAGTGAGTTTTTGTAGTATTTCACTTAAAAAAAATTAATCCATCTCCACTGTGTAATTCTTAGCCTTAATACATTTCAGTCATGGTATTTTCTTTGTAGCTCTGATATTTACACTTTGATTCACAGAACAAAAATATTTGAAATGACACTGTCAGTGTAACAAACGATATGCATCTCGATATTTTGAAATATGATTTCATAGAAACTTTGATACGTTATTATATTTCACAAAAGCCTATGGGTAACTCAGTCTGTTACAACACTGTGGGATTATTTTAGATGATATAATGAGGAAAGAAGATAGATTTAATGTGGAATACATTATTACCAGGGATGCATCAGTTACCTGCTCTCTTTCTGCATTCCTAGGCAAAAATCAAGATCAAAAACATCAATTCAGTAG